GCATGTGGTTAACTAGAAAGCGTTCACATAAACCAATTGTTGGATTGATGTCTGACAGACGAGAAACGATCCGTGCACCGTCATCGGAGCTGGCGTGAGTAGGCGTCATCACATTTGAATGAAAGTCACACACTCGGGATTGAACTGGTCTGCATTCTCGGCTGGACTTCGCGCGCCCCGCTCACCGATTCGCCAAAAAAGCAAGGGAAAGGGGGTGGATGGGTCGGGAACGAAGGATAGGTGTCAGTCGAACAAATGCCCCACAAAGCGCGCATCATCTATGTTGCCCCAGATTCTGGACGATGCGCAACGCGAACAGACCGATGATTCACCGTGTGGAACAGGAAGCTAAGCAACCTAGTAAGGTGCGGAGTGAGATGGATGACAGGTCGGACGATGCGGGAAAAAAGTCAACTGTGTTATGAGATTTAGGGCGGCGACAGGACTCAACTTCGTAGGCAGGGCTGAAAAAATGCCGCCGCAGCGATCATTTTATACCTGCTTCAAGTGCAGGATCCGATATGCAGTTGATTGAGACATTGTCAATCGAGCAGTATGACCAGTGCAACATGTGTCGGTGATGCCTCCTGAACTAAATGGAAACAGCGCAGTCCATTCTCCCAAGTCTTTGGTTCAAGAATAAGATGACTATTAATAGTCTGGAATAAGTTTGGAACAAACTGGGAATTCAAAACTGCGAAGGTTTCAGAATATAAAGCGGTTTCATTTAGCCTTGTGTTGCGGCTATGCTTTGCTCTCGGCACAAGGGCCTCTTCAGGCCAGGTGAACTAGTACATAATTGGCCTAGCTTTTATAACAAACTAACATGATATTTGCGAGTAGTAACCCGAGTCAGGGAGAAAACGTGGTTGTGGTTCGATGGGTCAACGGGTCAATGTAGTGATACAGCAAACATGGGATGTTCCCAATTGATCCGAGCCACAACTGATTCGCAATGAAGGCACTGCTGTTTCTTCTAGGGATGACAGTTCGACGTTATCGATCCAACATGAGGCTGCCCCACGACGCTGTTCTGAACGGCCGGATTAAGACAGGTTGTCTCTATTCCGTTCACGTAGCAATTGGCGTAGGCAATTTCCACTGCATCAGCAATTAATCTTCAGCCTGTTGTTGGCACTCCACTCTCTCCACTGTCCCAGTCGATTTCGTGGTTTGGATGATCGTGTTGAACTATCACCCATAGAATCAAGGGCGAAAAGAATAGTAGTACCTTATATGCGAATGATTTGAACTGTAACCACAATAATTATCGACTGAATCGAGTTATTGCTCGCAAACATCATCCTACCTTTTTATAAAAGCCAAAACAATTGTGTAATGGTTCACCTGGCCTGAAGTAGATCTTGTGTCAAGCGCAAGCATAGCCACAATACAAGTCTATGCGGAACGGAGTTGTAATTTAAAAACTCCCGAAATTAAGATGGCTGTTAGTCCGGTAAACGACATTTGGTAGCCAGAAACTATGTTATTCTAGTCTAAAAGTCGGAATTGGGACAGAGAGTTTCAGTACCAGTTATCAGAGCATGATCAGTGACACAAGGATATTCCGAGATGCTCGTATCTAGAGTTCACATTAGAGGAAATGTTGATGTAAAATAGAGATGGTGTGTCATGGTTTGGCTTTGCTGACCAACTAGCGATGAGAAACGAAAAGTAGCCGACGTTCCAAGATGAGCCATTCCGTGAAGAGCGATGATTATGTACTACCTAGGTTCAAGTACACCAGAAGGTTGTGATATTTACCGAATTTATTACGTAATTGCCACGTAAGGAATCACAGGGCAATCACCCTTAGGTAGAGGCTGAAGCTGTCCGCGTTACGTAAGCCGCCGGTAAATTAATTCACCACCTCCTGAAATTGCGTACAGTAAGTGAAAACCACCGCTATCCCACGGTCCGTCTCCCATTTGGTTTAATCCCTGTTCACACGAGTTACTGTCGCTACCTTAACTGTACATGAGTCTCATTGTATCCAAAGTTCTGTAAACGAAATTCCAGAAAAAAGTTCAAACTCCCTACCATCAGTGCCGCTATCCTTTACTGACTGAAAGCATTGCGTGTGTTAGTTACCTAGGCTTAGTTTAGCACACAATCGAAGTAAGTGCTGCTCTTATGGCTCCAAAAAATCCCCACACGAGTAGGAAGTTGTCATTTAAACACACCCTGACGAAGCAAGTAGTATCCCAGCTACTTCATGTGCCTCTATGTCAACCTGATGATGCATCTCAGGCGTAGACGCTTTGATTTTCAGTGCACTCGGGGGGAGTTTAGATGAGCGACTATCAATGAACGAGCTAGGGTGTCGTTCCACAACGCACTAGTGGACAACTATGCTCCTGAGACTTCTTGTGGTGTCGTAACAAGCTAAAGCGAACCTCAGATAAAGTGCAAACTTTAAGTTGGGTGTGCATCACCTATATCAATGGATCTCTATATGGAACACTGAAGATGATCGGACTTTGAGATGATTACACGTCGGTGCATTTCACCGGCTAGCCTTTTACGTTACTCGCATGTATGGCGGATAGCAAGTAGGAAACGCTTTCATTGAAAAGGAGACATTTCCTCTAAGCATGATCAGCTCTGTCTGTACATTCGCTACTTTACTATTCACCTCGGAAACAAGGTGGACAGTTTCGAAACAACGTTGCTTCGCACAACTGGGTGAATACATACTCCGGGATACTACTCGCTTCGACACGGAGTAAGCGGGCACAACGCCAAATCCGTCATATCTCGTTTCAACCAGCATGGTCCAAGGACAGTCCGTCCACATTCACTACCAAATAAGCTTCCCGTGTCATCCGGCTTAGTTTGTCCCGAACGAACGACAGTCAGCACGCCGCGCTGCGACCGAAGCTATCGATCGTCCGACAGGCCCATGTAGTCTCTCTGTGCTCATCCCTCGAAGAACTGACTGTCTCAGGGCTGTTATGCAGGCCATCAAAGGGTAGAGCAAAATCCATGGCTTCGCACGAGATTGTGTGTGTCCTTAACTCAGGTGCATGCGCGCGAACATTTGCTGTCCAATAACATTGCCAACTGGACAACCGAGCAAGCGTTACGGATGCTGATGTTTCCTACATACTCGCCATGGTTGAATTACGGGGATCGGTAAAACATATCGGATACACTGTAGATTGATGGAGGAGTGAGTCTCAACAAATCCACGGTCTGGAAAACGGCGATGAAGCTTCTATGGTTCGCATAATGGCGGTTGCGAGAGCTCCAGATCTCAGCAACTTGATCTTAGGTAAAAAGCTGCAATCTAAGAAACGGCGTTCGCGTTTTAATGGAACTGGAGATGATAGCACAGACTCAGCCGCAAAATCTAAAACCTATTCGTCGGCTCGTACTGAGGTTTCCAAGGTTTCATAAAAAGGCGTCAGAAGTACGTCGGTCTTCATCATCACCATCATCAACAGCAGTACACCAACCATCAGAACTAATGCATCGCTGCAGTACAACAACGGTGACCTATGGAACGAAGACTAATAAGAGGGAGAGAAGAGGGGCCTATCTAAAAAGGTGATGCTCTAAACCAATTTAGGGTCAAGAGGTCAACAAGTTACCACCACAAACAGCTGGCCATCGTGCAAAGATAAGGCAAGATAACCGACACAGCTTTCTTGCGGCATTCATTACTTTGCGCCATAATCAGCCAGTAGCCCACAGATAACTCAGCATCAAACACACTTTAAACAGACAGCCCAACTACGAGATGACAGCAGACGCGCCACTAGTGTCGACTGCGAGCCATGTCCTGTAACATCTCGAGCTAAGCAAAAAGTGGGTCACGTGGACTCCAGCCTTGAAGGTGAGACGCACCGACGGCACCAAGTTTGGTCGTCAGTGACTTCATTTCACGCTGCCAAGTCAACGTTAGTATACTCGAGCCTTGCGCCACTCTACATCTGGCAAACAAAACAAAATCCTCCTCGGTAAGCGGTGACCGGGCAAACATAGTGCGCACCCAAGCTAACGCAGTGCTATCTGTTGTTCCAAGGAACTAGCTTGGTTGTCACTGCCTAATAGACGCCTACGCACATCATTATTGCGGACCCACTGGTGCCATCCGACACGGCTCTCCCTGTGGCCTTGTAAACACCGCCTTTTAGACGGAGGGAAACTTCTTTCCGACGCCATAGATACCGCAGACTCAAAAGGGCAGTTATAGCTTTTGCAATGCGTGAACTGACTTCAGTTGCTACGCGCCCATCGTTGTTGATATAGCTGCCAAAGTAAGTAAATTGATCGACTACTGCGAGTTTCTCGCCATTAGAGGTCAAGGGGACATCAAGTGGCTGATGGTTCTGTGACAGCAGTTTACACTTTGAAGGTGTGAAGGGCATGTCAAATGATGGGACTACTCTAGTGAGGTTATTCAGGGTTGATTGCGCCGCCCTAACAACGTTAAAAAGCGAAGCAATCTAGTCCGCCCAAAGTACGCCGTACCGAAGCTTCGCTGCCGGATAACCAGTGGGCTAAGGATACTGCGAAAGTCGCACGGTCCCCTAGGCAAGTTCAAACTCGCGACCTCGGAATTACAAGACATGCTTGTGACGTTTAAAGCCACGGGCTGACTGGTGTTCATATGAGTTTGGAGCGCGAGACCCACATACTCTCTGTGAATACCGGTCCCGAATTTCAAAATACAAGCGTTGAACAGCGTGGTAATGTTCATCATCACAGTCATATTTCACGCCTGACAAGAAGTTACAGTGCTAGCGCATTGAGTGAACCTGTGGGAACAGTGACCTTAGACATTTGACCTTAAGGTCGGATCATGTACAATACAGAAACACACGGAGTTCAACAATACACGTAGGAGAAAATTGCGGTAGGCCTGGAGCTAATCAAACCTCTACATACGATGCAAATTCCAACCGAAAATATGAAAATATGAACAGAGTCAGTACAAAGAGTCAGCGATTCGGGCGGTTCTTTAGTGAACTGCTGCAACAACTCAACAAACTTACTGTGCAGGTAAATCCGGCAAGACAAGAGATTCAGCAGCGTGGCTCGTAGGTACCCTCATTGACGAAACATCCATTGGTTGACGAACTTCCGTGCTGATCATCATCTGTTGTGAACAATCATCCAGTAGAGGCCGGTCAAAGGATATCGGAAAGAGGGTGAATGATAAATTTGGCACTGTAAAATCAATGATACAGCATTCACTGTCTAAGCGTGCAATGTGACATTCGCACTGGTGAACAGCAGCCGCTTGCAACGAGGTGCATAACGCTCTAACGTCAACCGCGATCCCAATTGCCACACCGTTTCCGTCGTCCCCAGTGATGACCGATGCAATGCGCATCTGCCTCACTACAGCGCCCAACAATGTCATGCTACGTTGCTCCGTCTGATACGATATACGGCGCCCTTACTCCTAGGCAGATAACCCAAAGACAGCACCTGCCTAAACGTGTACTCACACACGCACACAAGCAGGGAACCGTTGATGCTGACGTGTGTTGTGTATCCGAAACTAGCAGCTACGACTCTTACGTGGCAGTGAAAGATAGGTCGTGCTATATCCCAGTTAGTTTGCAAGCTATATATAGCTCAATCACCGTTCCCCATGGCTTAGTAGCTTAAGCTGCGGGTTAGCTGGCGTCAGCCTCTAGCGGTCATGAGTTCGATCGCCAGCATAAGACCGAAAGATGCACACCATTGATAAGTCCCAATAGGGCACAACATGCGTCTAGTGCTTTTCCGGATAGGTGATTGTGCTACGTAGCTTGTGAGCTGCTGGGGGAATACATTAATATAATCTTACCTAGTTATCTAACAAACTGCGTCCAACTTATCACCTCAATTTTGGCTGTAAGCGTCAAGTATTTTGTGCAAAAAAACGCAAATAAAGCTGTCGAGGGGATCGTTGCCGGTGACAGGGCTGAATCCTCGGTGGTTGACGGAGTCCTAGTGGAAACTAATGATTATGCAGCCCACTTCCCTAGAACTAGGGCTACTGAATGTAAAGTGCAGTTGTTCGGGGTTGTTTCCTATGATTAAACACACCGCAGTCCTGATGCTGTCAAGGACGGCGTTTACTACAAATGTTGACTGTAAACGAGCAGTGCGACTTAGCCTGGGCGTAATTCTAAATTCTAGATTTGTGAATGCACGAGTCATGTCTAGTTACATGATTGGACTTGATTCTGAACACCACGACAGTGGAAAGCGTCCACTATTGCGACTGTGCATTCAACACTAGTTGTTTTTAATTAGCCATCTCCTGGGATGCAACATGGCGTACTGCCGTCTCCGATCAGCGATAAGCCCAAACAGGTGGCACGTTTCATGTGACGCCCGCTTCGGAATGCGTGCATCGTCCTTAATCATGCACCAGAGTGTTGGTAATCTCGAATCCCTTCGTCAGGAAAAGTAAGCAATGACTCCTACTGTTGGGGAAGCCTATCCGAAGGCCATCTGTAAGTTGCGTTTGTCTTTTCGCCCGGAAAGAAATGAAGTCTGGTGGTTTCATGTATCATACGTTATGGGAAGCCTATGCTTAAGACAATAGCAATCATCTGCACACTGGGTATCCGTGGGGTAAATGTACCTGCTGGAATACAGAGGAGAACTTGCTGCTAGCACTGGATGGCTGGACCATGTGTTACGCACACCAACTCATGCGACGTGGATCCGAATGGAAAAAGAAGAGACCAACCAATGACTACTCAAAAAGGAAACTCGACACTTCGAAGTTGGCCTCGGTTGGAACCACTCGACTCCCTGTTTGGGATCTGAAAGACGATGAACGAGTTTGGTTGGATATAATTGGTGATAAGATAAAGAACTTGTTGGCGACGGAGGTTATTTGAATTACTCACAGCAAATTCGAGTACGACACCGCTATGCAGCTGGAAGGGCTACTAATGCTGCGTGGGAGTGCGTGTTTGTACACCAAATAATCAGTGTCCGCTATTGATTTGCTTCGAATTGTAAATCGCTCTCGCGTTCATGTGTCTCTCATCACAGACGGTTTTGAATGCCTACATGTGCTGAGTGGTGTGTACCACTGCTTTCGCTTGGGTGTAACAGAATCGATCGCAATGACGATGTTGTTGTCCGTCACCCACCCTATTAGCCTCACCCTCCAACGCAGCTCTCAGTACTCACAAGTAGTATTTTTTTGTTTCCCTCTAGTTGTTCTTCCTTTTCTCATTCTGTCTAAATTGTTTGTATTGCGGTTTAATAGCTGAGGTGAGCAACATCTCTGGCTAACGTGTATACTAATGTTGATGAATACTTTATACCGGTTGTTCGTTGACTGTGGAAGCTGATGATGCGCGGGGACCCGGTCCGGTAACAACAGTTCGCATGTTGGCGCAAAGTATACGTTGAAGCACGCAGCGTCAAGCGTCAGCTTAGTCAATAATAGTGTTTGCGTAATAGTTAGGACTGGTTCCACGAAGCTACACCGCAAGCGAATTCAAAGCCTCATAATCAGTTACCAAGGGAAACCAGTACCGTGAGAGAAGTGGCAAGAGGCAGGAGCGTCACTCATGATCAGTTCGACCATATACGGTTGATGCAAAGTGGAAAGATAGGGCAGCCCCGACGCAGTCTATCTGTAGTACAGGAACAGTTTCCCGTAGGACCTAACGGTAGTTGTCATCAACAAAAAGATAACCGTCAAGTAAAGGAAGATAATCACTATGTGGTTTGTAGGTATACTGACATTCCGAAACCTGGCGAAGTAAAATTGGTCGTTTACGGTTGTCGAAGCGGAAGACAGTCTGATGCTCAGCGAATCTTTTCTCACAAACACCAGTGACTCGTCGCAGCATGATGCGTGTGAATACTTAGGAGAGGATCGAGATGAGGCCGCTGCTGTGATTATGTACACAGAACCATGAAAATACAGATATTGTTCATGTTCTTGAAGTGAAATCAACTCAGACGTCGAAATGCCGGGAGCCCTGGTTTGCTTGCCATTACAAGAAACTGGACACTCGTTAGGCGGCAGCGTGCTTCGTCTTCGGACCTGACCTGACCTGGGGACGATGTTTGGCTATTTTAAGGATGGGAATGACGAATGAGAGCTACCAATCAGTGGGCAACTTTTCCTTGTCCTCGGTAGTGTCGAACATGGTTGGCGGCATCCGGTTGCAGATTTGCCTGTCACTTTGGCCAGCCACAGGACGCCTGCGCCTACAGAGGGACCATGGATGGCTTGCGCTGCACCAACCACACACCCCATATCCAGTGTCAGCTCGAAGGAATAAGGCCGGGAGGCATGCGGATGGGAGCCACGTTTCATCGACGGAGCCGGCCCACACTCCTTCACAGGCAAACACAAGCACGTTGTATTTGGAAACCATGTGCACACAATGCGGTGGCTGGACCGTAGTCCGCTCCACACTGAGTGCGTGGAACCACTCTTCGAGTCTAGCACGACCACAAGGACCGTGCACCCCGTCCCCTCCAACAACGACCAACTGTATCCTAGAGCCAGTATGGACGAGGTAGTGAGCAAGAGACAAGTAGGCACCTTGTCAACATGCACATCAAGCGCAGCCACATCGGGCATATCAACCAACAGCTAATCAGTTGGGACGACGATATCAAATAAAATAAATCAAATGATGCATAGACATGGTGACATAACTATGCACTAGATGAGCACATGAAATAAATTGGTTGCCAGCAAATGTGCGATGGGTTCAAGAGGTCAAAAAAAGATATTTTAAGGAAATGTCACAAATGCGAAAATGTTATCGAGGTGTGCAAGTTAACATAAGGTAGTTCAGGTAGACACTAATATGAGATTAAAGACAGGGCAATACAGCAAACCCACCACCTGAAATAAAGAGACCCAGCATGTAAGCATGCGGTTAGTAAATCGAATGCAGCGTACCTACCAACGCTGCGCCGGTTCTGCCTACGTTCTCAGCAGGACTCATCGTCGATTCAGTGTTGGCACAGAGTGGCCTCGCTTATGGCTCACTAGGCCTGCCTGACTCAGACACTCACGAACACATGTGCTACAGAACCACGCGCTCGACGTCGATGGAGTACAACCCATCGACAGCTGCCACTTCCGCAAGTGTCGCTTCTTCTTCGCACGCATGAGGACTTTCTCCTGCACCTCGGCAACTGCCTTTGTGACCAGATCGCGCCATGCACGCCGATCAACCGCCTCCGATTCCCATGACCTGCAATCAACGTTATAATGTGATAGGATCAGTTTGATCATGTCCTAGTAACGAAACTTCGGCTTCTCCACGTGCCGCTTCCCAACACTCAGCTGACCATCTAATAGCTGCTTCAGTATCCGCGTCGAATCCATACGCCACACTTGACCGAGTTACCTCAGGTGTCTCAGCAAAAGTGTGCAGTCTACTGTATACATCCCACTTCGGCGCAATACTTCGTGTCTGCAATTCTATCGCACCAACCAGTGCGCAAAATTCATCGCAAACACTGCTGATGGAACCGCTCGAGATTTCGCACATCCCACCGACACATTGCCTACGTTTCAGTGACGTATAGAAGAACGGACAATACCATGGATTTGTACACCATCAGCTTCGTTACAACGGTAAGCTTATAGTTGTTTCACAACCTATACTCTAGCTTCCCGAATGCCGCCGCTGTCTTCGACACGCGGATACGAAACTCACTGTGTAGCTGCTGGTCAGTCGACACTACACTGCCAAGGTAGCAGAAGCGGGAGGTGGTTTCCAACACTTCGTCACCAGTGCTGATTAGCGGCACCATTGCAGATTGCACCTCCGGTGTAGGCTGGAAGAGACAGACAGTTTTGCTTGTGAGCTCGAATTTGTCCGCTTCGAAGCCAGTGCACCAGCCATGTGCTGCAATTCATCCGCGCAGTGTGCAAACAACGCACAGTCATTAGCAAACAGTAACATACGGATAGTTGTGTCACAGACTAGGGTTTTCGCACCGAAACGGCGGATATTCAACAACCACATCAATACGGCGCTCCATACGAACACGGTAAGTACAAGCCGCATCAAAAGCACAATACTTCATGGCATGAAGATAAATATTAAACGAGGCAGGAGCTAAGACATGGCCTTGCTTCACACCAGAGACAACTGCAACGTCATCCGAAGTCTCTCCACTCGGCTGCACCCTCGCCCGTATACCACTGTGTAGACATTCAAATAAAGTCACAAAATTATATGGACAACCAAACTTACCCAATACTAGCCGCATTGCCTCGCGGTTCACCGTATCCGATCCCTTGGTGAAATCAACAAGCAACGAGTACAACGGCTGGGGTGGCAATCTGCACATAATAGTTAGATTACTAATCAGTGAACCACTAACATTCCTCCATAACGCTGATGGCAATTCGTCGTGGCCAGATGCCTTGTTCCACCTGACCAACACCATGAATCTTCCGCAACTGCTTCACCATCTGCACCATCGGGCTGCAGAGGACTCTGGTGCTATTAAACGGTAGGGGTGTGGCTGAACGCGAATGCACACTAAGACAGTTGTCTATGCAGCCAAAGAGCCCTCAAGTGTGCAACAGAAGTGACACACATTTAGCATGTTGCAGTTTGTTGACAGACATTGCGAGGATGGAACAAGACGATCACTCACCTCACCCGCATCCGGGAGCACAGTGGGTGCTTCGCTTATGTTCAAGGCCCTAGCGGGGATGTAAGAACACATTAAACATTTTGAGTCAGCGGTGAGAGAACAAAGGTATTCTAAGGTCGTTAGCAAAGCAATCGGTAGACAGACAGCAGGAAAACTCGGCAGACCAAGAAGAGGAGATGAAATAAAAACCTAGGACAGAGGCCGAAGCAAGCGGAAATATGGTCGACCGACGACATCTCTTGATAAAGCGGCCTATACTAGGTCACAAGAATGACATTAAAAGGTTACTGTCGTCAGTCGGAAGAAAGATGGAGGTGACATGCTGATGCGGTGCGTTTTATTTGTGTGAACGTGGGCTCTGCCAAAGATACCAGAATAAGATTGTAAACAAGGAGATAGATGTCAAGATTCGAAAGCCAGATAGAGCAATTCTGTAGAAATCGACGGACGATCCGTGTACATGCGGACTCAAAGGTTCTACGATGACTGAATGAAAAGCTAGGACGGAAAAGAGGAAAATAGAAAAAGGTGAAAAAGCAACATTGAACAGAACCAGAGGATGTGCGCGCAGACAACACTCAGAGCTAATTTGGCTGCTCTTGGTAATTACATGTGTAGCCCGATAGAGACGACCTGCATCAAACAAGCTGTGCCGGTTGTTAACTGGAGTCGCTAGTCACTCACGGAACCCGCTGGTGGTGTGTGGATAGATCAACTGGATAAATAGAGTGGGTTAAGAAACCGAAAGTTCAAACCCGTTACAAGCACGGTCACACAGGTAAGCATCAAAATGAGTGCCAACCTCGGTAATCCGGATGGAATATGCAGAATTAAGACCAAGCAGTTCCAAGCAGTACACGACATCGGTACAAGCTTGTAGTGCCGGTGTGAACCGAACCGCCCACCAACTCCGCTTCGAAAAGAGTATTGAGTATGTGAAACAACTTACTGCCAGACGTAGTCGAAGCAAAGTCGGTGTCGGAAATCGAAAAATTCCTGGGAAAACATGTTGCTGACATGAAGTATCGGGGATGCTCTCCAAAATAATAGGTCATTGTACCTGAAGCGTTTTAGATCCAGCTACACAGAGACATCGCATGTTGCTGCATTCACCCAGTATGCAGTAATCATGAGGAGGCTCAACAGCGCACCGTGCCAAAGAACAGCGAGTTGTCTTGGAAACAAACGTCACACCAGCGCTGAAATGCGATGTACGCGCAACAAACAGATTGTTTTCGGGGGAAAAAGGAAAAAGTGAGGGCTTATAACAAATGCGCTCACTTGATAATTGTTGGCTCAGAGGTTTGCTCCAAATTAAGGACAATTCCATCCACAAGGTCCGGTTGATATGCAGACTGCTGTTCCAAAACGGTTACAGCAAACATCGTCGGTTCCACCTCGCTACGAAAGGAAAACGAGTCACATGTGAGGGTTGCCTGAATGGCAAGTTCTGGTGGATGCAAGTCCTCTCAGATAGAGAAATGCGTGGCATAAACGATGACTGTAAGACGAGTACTCGCAGGAGCACATCAGAGTCTTGAAGTCACTACACTGCACTCCGATATCATCACAGAGCAATAACGAATAAAATACAAAAACCAATAAGGCAAAGTTCGGCGATAAAAACACTAAAGTGCAAACCAGATTAGGCTAAAGTTACCGTTTCATTAAAACTATACATCAGTATTAAGATCATGACCATCATCGACAACAGCAACATTATCATCAACAATATGCCTGTATTTTGAACAGATTACCAGCGAAAGGTGCCGGTAGAATTGCTAGATCTTCCCCAATTGGACTGATCTCGTTCTTCGAAAGCTATCAATCCAACCTAAATCAGAAGTCGATGACCGACACAAAAGTGAGGTGCCGAAACAACTACCAAAACAGGTGCAAATGCAGTCAGACGAATGGGTATTTATACGTCGACCCAAAGATATTCATGTTCCAAAACTAGATCAGTTGCCAGAATTAGTTAGTTCAGCTGAGCTCGACCAATGAGGCCAGTGCACACTTCACACGGTGGACCAGAATGTTGTGGAAACAACTCAATGCTCCGGCAGCACACATCGAGTCAAACCGTTTCATTGAAATAATGAGTCTCCCTGGGAGATTTTACTCTCTCGCGGACAAGAATACGAAAGAATACAAGAGAGGGATGAAGAAGTCCGATAGGCTGGACACTTGTAAGAAACCAATTCGTTTAGACAGTAGAGTGATGGTCAAAGACAGACGGTGGTCGTGTCTAAACAAGTCGGTGAACGCGAAGCAGCTGACCAATGACTGTCGCTGCTCAACTTCATGGTCAAGTATGCGCCTCATAAGCAACTCAGTTGGCAAGCATGTTATGTAGGCAGGCAACGAAAAGTGTGATGACAGTCGCGCCAAGCAGAGTAGAAGTTGGAGCCAAGCGTACAATGTACTGAGAAAGAGACACCTGGGAGAGTAGGTAAACTTCACCTTCAGACAGTCAAGAAAGTCATCAGCAGTACGTCGGCACACTGTACCGGTCGCGCGTCGGCCGTACACCGCGAGGATACCTGCCCCTACGCGGATTCGAACCGGTGACCTCAGGGTTGCAAACCCCCCACGCAATCCTGTCGGTCACCTGCGGAACTAAACTTCACCTAACTAGATGACGTTCATTTTTCAAGTCTGCATGTGGACGCATATCTAGCAGGACTTCAGAGGACGATAGATCTAAACAGGAGAGCGCATGTAGCGTGTGCCCCAAAAGCTAGCCATCACGTATTTGGGTAGCTGATTTAATTGAAGTGAATAATATCATGACAAACGGCGGATAGCTCGCGATCCGAATAAATGGTCAACTCCTAATCACAAAGAGAACAACTCACACGGATGGTTAGCGAACACAAACATCTTGCACCTAGGTAGACTACGCTCCATTCATAGTAGATTGCAGGAAACTGTTCCGGATTGTGCACACAGAGTTGTCTGTGGTACTTCGTGTAAAATCAGGTCAGACGAAATCTGGTGATTTGATGGCACCACCACAAAAACCCGTAGTCAATCTTCATCCTGTTTGAATGCCCGAGTTTTGCTTGCAGTTTTGGCACGGAATCCAGTGTACGATATTTCCTTGCTCATGTACTCTAACTTTCCGGTTTGGTTTAGACAGAGTTCTTCTTAGTGTTGATGTTGATAATGTGAACCACCATTAGGCGGATTGGTTTGAGGAGTCTGGCGGTCAGCTCTAAAACAGTCTCCACATACGTGAGTGAAACAGGACAGAAATTGACTTCGAGGGAACGGAAATACACAAGCGCCTATAAAGGCTGTCACGCATCATCTCTGATCTTGACGCACGCCGGTGAAGGACATAACTGTGATTGAACAATAAGCGTTGTTCTAACACATGGAGAAGGAAGGAAAAGGAAGAGAATTTCTGGACGCTTGGTTTTCAATAGAGAATTCAATAAGCCTATGTGATCCTATATACCGAGGTGCCGAACACGCGCATTGCTTCTGCCATGTTCCATCTCAAGCTATCATGCCACTGTAACGATGCGCAACAGACATGGAAGATGCTAAAGGCGAAATAAGTTGGGAATCACTAACGATAAGTGAAAAACTGTAACCCACGTGCCGACGGTGGTTGACTCGAGTCGCGCCTGTTTGGTTGGTGGTGTATCTAGAACGCTCGCTTTGGTAACATCATCGGGCACCGTGAACAGAGTGAAGACCTCGGGTTCGCGATCCTGACCTAGCGTAGCTTCCTGGAAAAAGTCCAGAGCCGCCGGGCCTAATTCATCGCCAAAGGTTAGAGTATTTGCATAGCCCTGAAGAGGATTGCAGAAAGTTGAGCAGCATGTCACCAAACGAAGGTAGAGTGAAGAAGACGCATTGAACAGCGGTACTTACCAGATTGATATTATCCTCAATCAAGGTAATGTCTTCCGGACGAGCTTGATAAATGGAGTTTTGGGAATCCATAAACTTCTAAAATTCAAAAATTTCATATTGCGGTCGAAAGGGAAACAAACCGGATCAGGTTGTACGATAGACAGCGACAGAATGTCGGGTATCTGAAGATTCCCAAAGTCACTCGGAGGGTCGGCCAGTGGCAACTCGGGCAGCTCTGTGGGTTCATCCCGTTTTCGTTTCTTGGAACGAGGTTTCAGGCTAGAGATGGAGATAGAGAAATAGTGCTACTCAAGAACGCAGGGCTGTCAACGAAACAGCCATTTGAAAAAAGACGCAACAACAGTATAGGAACCGAACGCCAAACTGATGAACCGAAGCGGAAGAATGCGAAACACTGGTTACCTAACAGCTGGTAAATCCACTGGAGCACATTGAAAGGTAAAGGAGGATCGGGAGTACAACTCCTGTAAATCACCTGGAACGCGGGGAAGTGTTTTCAAACAAAAAGGTTAAAACTTGGTGTCGAGAGATGCAATGGAAATTGCGGTTGCACAGTGTGGAGTGGAGATAGTAACCCAGAGTTGGGGGCCAAAACGCCATAACTGAAAAGCAAGTGATGTAAAATCGGTTCGATACCGCACCAAAAGGGATGCATTTAAGAGTCAGCACTGAGGCTCCTTCGAAACGGAGCGTACAAAATGGATCACGCGTGTGACACTCCCACAAATAAAGGGTTTGAACACAGATGTGTAACGGAGCTGCGAGTGACAAGAATTAACCGGCATTCTAAGGAGACGTAAAACGGCTCCTTAGGTACGCAGGTAACCTTTTCTGACGCTTTGCCTGAACACTACGAGGCCACTCGCATCTACATAGACTTGAGTGGTAATTAGCGGAGCACAATCCAAGTGGTCGAAATACTACATCACCGGTCGCCAAGCAGGCGCGTTGCAGTCGGCAGGTGGTCGAGTAAGGCGACTGGCTTCTAATCCACAGGTCGGCGGTTCGAGCTTGCGTAGGTGTTGGCGAACTTACAGTATCCATAGCTCGTATGCGAATGCTGATGGTTGTGCAACAACAACGCGTCGATACAGCGTACCGGTGTAATGCGGATGACCGTATACTGCAGTCATGAAAACGCGATTCGGGGAGCAGTCAATGAAAACGAGGAAATAAGAAAGCATTGACGGAACCGAATGCCATTCCCCTCGGCAGTTTATACGTGTGACACAGTTCAAGCCTGCTCTGCCCGGTGCTCAAATTGAGGTCGCATGTGCCGGACTTTTTTTGTTTCAGTTGGGCGAAACTAACATGACGCACTAAAAGAATATTTGGGACCAAGATGCCCATGCGTTGACAAATAACGCACGATTACAAACGGCTAACTATCAAGTGAGGGCAAATTGGAATCAGGGAGACAGCATCTCTACCGCTTCACCACCCAGAATTAAAAGAAACGTTGCCCAACAGACAACAACACCAGACCCACAGAAATAGGCTGTTTGACCATAAACCCCTTTCAGTTCAAATGGGTGAGTAATAATATAAACCGCAAGATGGTAGTAGATGATCACACTGACAACATGCAGGAATAAGGAGCAAGAATCTGCTAGAATAGATTCGTGACCAGGAGACACGATGACAGAGATTGAATTAGCCGTGCAACATATATACATCAACATGGTACAACTAAAAGACTGTTTTTGATTAGGCCGGCAAACGTAAACAGGCTGGTTAAGTTTGAATATAGCTGTCATTGCAGCTCAGCTCGTCTGGTGGGAACACCGTATGAGCAACGAACGTATTTGGTGTCGCGTCAACAATCGTCCTCATTATACACGCTAGCTAGAGGTAGAAAACTCCTCAGGTACGGTGCGTAATGTAGAATAATTAAAAAAATGACAGAGCAGCTGAGCTACCACCAACGGATGGGCATCATTCCGGAGGGCTTCCAGCCGCCTATTGTGTTGCAAAAAAGTTTTTTATGTGTGGGAAATGAGACCGTGGTTGGAGGACGGGAGAGGTGGGAGGGAGATAGACAAAGAGATTTACAACACAAACGCCACTGAGGTCGGACCCTTGTTATGTCAACCAGTGCATCTACCCGAATGTGTTCATCGTCTTTCGGACCGCAACCAAGGAGCCAAAAGGGTCCAAACCAGGCCAATGTCGAAATAAGAGCCTTCATTTCTCTTGACCAAGTCATCACTTGGTCTCCTTCTTCCAACCACATCACCGGTGCGCAAAGAGCGCACATCGCGGGAGTCGGTGTGCTGGCATACGCAACACATGACCCCGCTATCGGAGCCTGGTGTCGCGTATTGGGTGTAGGAAGAGCGAGTGAAGCGTTCAGTAAAGTTATATCACAAACCAGGTTCCGACCGCAGGGCCACGTGTTGCATATGCCAGCAAACTGATTCTCACGTCGTGCGTAATTTACGCGACCGAGATGTTGATGAAAGGGAAGGAGTGAAAGCAAAGCAATGACTTGGTCAAGAGAAATGAAGGCCCGCACTTGAAAAATGGCGTCGGTTGGTGTCTTCCGACTGCGGGCTAGTGAGAAAAGGACAAGGAACACTTATGCTTGGGTACACTAGTTGATGTAGCGATGAGCCGGCCCCAATTGCATTTGTGTTGAATTTCTTTGTCCTCACCCCTCCTGTTTACCTTCCTCCTGCAGTCACGTTCACGGACGTAAGGCTTAAGAAGACACTAAGTAGCATACTACGTTTTCTGGTTTTAGATTGTATGCTACAACTTCCGCTTCTCCATGTGTCTTGTCTTGTCACATTGTGAGCATTAGTTAAAGTTTGTATATTACCTTTAGCTAGATTGTGCTTCTGCTAATGATTTGATTATGCCGAGCGTTCCGATCTCAGCCATGCCTCCATGCAAATGAAGTGCAGAAGAAATTTCCCTTCAATCGAAAGTGTTATATATATATATATATATATATATATATATTCAATATTATTCTAATTACAATATAATTGGTTGAATGCCACAATACATAAGAAGAAAAAGATAGCATGAAAGGGAAGACAACTGTTAGGGTAGAAGAGTCTCACAGCAAGTGCGCCATTGCGTTCAGTCCTTGGCCATATCCTCCAGCGTTTGTAACCAGATGTGCTTGGGGTCCTTTGGTCCCCAACCCAGGAGTCGGGAATGCGCGACAACAGTCAGCTTCATCGTTTGCGCCTTGACACATTGGATCGTAGTTTTACATTGCCCTCCTTTTCGTCACTTTCAAGCCACACGTGTGCTGGCGAATAGGGCTCGTCCTGGTAGCCGCTGAGTAGGCATGCGAAGCACATGGCCAAGCCAGCGAAGCCTCCGCAATGAGATGATGCTATCAATCGGTCGGTGGAGTTCGTTAGATCTGAAGACTCGCCGACGGATTTCCACATTACTGATGTGGTGCTGCCATCGAACACCAACAATTCTTCGCAGGCAGCGGTGATCGAAGACTGATAGCCGCTGAACATCGCTTTTGCGAACGAGCCAAGTCTCACAGCCGTACAGCAGAATCGCTCGTACCGTAGCACTGCAGACTCGTCCCTTGAGAGCGAGGCTGAGATTACGACGAAGGTTAGCGAAAGCGACTCTAGCCTTGGAGACCCACAGAGAGATCTCGTCTGTCAAACCGCCAATACTAAGACAACCAAGACAAATGAATTCGTCGACCACTTCCAACGGATGCTCCAAAAGGGAGAGAGAAGGACATGCGCTTGGCCAATCCTGTAATAGGGCCTTACATTTGGAAGGGGCGAAGCTCAACCAAAATTGGGCGGCAGGCATCTCCAGTCTGAGCAGGACATGCTGGGCGGCTTGGGAGGACTCGCAAATCACAGCGATGTCATCGGCGTATTCTAAGACCCGAAGGCGATCACGAGGGAGCAGCTCAACACCGCATGAGTCAGATTTATCCAGGGCAGTATCGAGGATCTCGTCCATGGCGAAGATGAACAAGAATGGAGAGGTTGGGCGACCCTGTCTAACACCGCTGGTAATACTGAAAGGGAGCGGAATGTCTCGGTATGCTCGCACGCGGCCCGAAGTTTGATGGTAAATAGCACGGAGAATGTTGATGTACTTCTCAGGTACTCCCCTCTTCAGTAGGCAGTCCCAGAGCCACTCTGTCAACAGAGTCAAAAGCGGCTCGAATGTCCAAGAATATGACTATGGTTGATCGACTGAACGTGTGGCAATGTTCAAGTATCTGGCGGATCGTAAAGATGTGATCGACGCAATCGCGACCCGGGCGAAATCCAGCTTGTTGTTCACGCAGGTGCTGTTCCCGTACGCAACTGAGCCTCCGTAAGAGTAGGGCAGCGAGCAGTTTGGATGCAACACAAATGAGACTGATGCCACGATGGTTGGAGCAGATGGTCCGATCTCCTTTTTTGTAAACAGGTACAACATCCGCTAAATTCCAGTCGGATGGAATGGTTTCAGTAGTCAAATCTGTTGGAATAGAGATGTCAGTTCGCGAGTGAGAGCTGGACCTCCATATTTGCACAGGGCAGGAGGAAGTTTATCTGGGCCAGGTGACTTGTGGCACTTTAGTAAGCGAAGCTCATTGGAAACCTCGGCCTCTGTCGGTGGAGAAACATCCACGTACCATGGAGCACTGTGAACCCCGGAATATAGACTCGATTGCGCTGCTGGCCAGTTGAAGTGATCATCAAAATGCTCTGCTCATCGTACCAGACGACTGTGAATTAGTTCACCGTCATTTTCACGCAAAACCTCACTCACTGTTGGTTTTCTGCCTCCCGTGGAGTGAATAATTTGGAAGAGTTTGCGGGAGTTTCCTTATGAGGCTGCCCGCTCCATCTCGACGAGGCGCTGTGTCCACTAAACCTCGCGATCCTTCCTGAGGAGCTGTCCGAGCTCAGCACTTGTGGTTCTGCGTAGTGCGTTGCACTCAACTTCGGCGGGAATTGTTCGACGACTTTCCATTAATTGGAGAGCCTGTGTGGAGATCAAATGACTAACAACTCGTCCAGTGAAGCAACAGACCAGGGTAGCGGACTTTCGTAAGGTGCTCTGGATCTGTGCCCAATGTGTCTCAAGATCGGAGGATAAAGGTAGACGGGAGGCTAATGTGTTTTGAAATGCACCGAACACATTTGGAACGGCAAGCTTGTCAGTGTTAAACCGTTTCCGGCAACGCTGTTGGGTGCCCCCAAAACGCAGAACGAACTTAGCACACACGAGCGCATGATCCGAAGTCAGGTAAGTGTTCCATATTGACTTGCAGTCCGTTATGCAGCCAAGCCAACGGTAACTAACAGCGATGTGGTCAATTTACGTCCAAGACTGACCAGGCGCCGGAGGTCGCCAGGTGGTTTGTTGGCGCCAGGAACGCCGGAAATTGGTACTGGAGAGGAACAAGTAGTGGTCGGCGCACAGTTGCAGGAGTCGATCGCCGTTGTCCGTCTTGTGAGTACCGTGGCTGTGTTGAGCCCCAAGTTCGCGCTCATGAACCTCTAGTCTACCGACCTGCGCATTTAGGTCACCAGCGATGTCCGTGCGGCGTTTCTTGCGGAGGAGGTCGGTGTGTTGCCGGTAAAACTCCTCTGTAGCTTCGTCCGGGCTGCAGTCAGTTGGAGCGTATGCCACCACAATGAATAAGCAGCGCCTACTAGTGCCGTGGCTGGAAAATCGCACTGAGCTTTCCAAACGGACTGCACAAAGACGACTGTTGACCGGGAACCAGTCAATGAGCGCTGCCTCAGCACGCGCGCTTAATGCAACTCCTACGCCGGCGCAACCAGAGGCAGCCGCTATCGCATCTCCAGATAAGCGCAAAGTGAATATGCAATTGGAACTTGGGGAGGGTGAAGGCAATCGCAGCGTTGTGCTAGGGTATTGTAAAGGGGTTTCAGTTACGCAACAAAAGTCGATTGAGAGGATTTCCAAGGTTCGCGCAAGAGCAGCTTGTGAACCAATCTGTATGAGCGTTCGTACAATGAACGTAGCTAGCTTGAAGAACGAGCAGGGTGCAATAACAACCTTGCTGTTGGTATCGGAATATGTGCGATCAATTTTGAGCGGCTCATTGAGGCCAGAGGTACCGTTTTTATTTGAAATGCAAGGTTGGAGGCTCGAAATTGAAGGCGGGTTGCCAAGAACGGGAGGATTGTATAAACGTGAAACGAAGAACGTGGTTTGCGGTGCGGTAGAGTGAGGTATAGCATGTCCGGCCGCCAGCACCCCGGCCAAAGAGAGTTCAGAGAGCGAGAGACGTGAGCAGAGAGTTGTAAATCCATCATTTGATGTGTTGTGTAGGCATATAGCTTCCGGATGGCCCAGGCTGAGGAAGGGGGTTGACTTAGGCGGCCCCACCCGGAGCCTTTGGTCATAGGGACCTGACCCGCAAGGCAGCGGGGCGAATTAAGGGAATCACGCCCATTGGGAGCCGGTGACCGGTTGCTCAGTTTATAGATCTTTCTTTTGGCTGGCTGTCAAACAGGGGCCCAATACTCGTAGTAATTCAGCGTCAAGCTGAATGATTACAATGCTCCAGCGAGGTGAAGTAAGGGGCAGTGACTATTTAGTGGCGAGTCATGTCCGCCACGTCGCAGTGTTGTTAAACGTATATTTGTGGCTTTTTATAGGGAGGAGGCTTGCCAGGCGAAAACCCACGTGCCGAGCAGTTGCCTATGGTTTATGCCTTGAGTGTGCAAAAGCGAACGCCACCGACTGCGGCGCAGTCACTAAATAAGCACGATTTGGCCTATCTCCAGAGGGAACACAGAGAAGCTTCTAAGTTGATCAGTGTACCCACGCAGGGCGAAATGTCACAAATCCATCGGGGGCAAAAAGTACAATACTCAGAAGTGTTAAATGAGCCGAATGTCTGAAGGGGTTACCATAACTGCATATAAAAATGCCGGAAAATGAGTTGAAGCAGTGATGGCAGTTGGTTTTAGACCGTACCGGGACGAGGTCAGGTTGGGTTGAAGTGCCCACTCTAATGTTATATAGAAATGACTTTTGAGATTAATCAAAGCGGTGATCGCTTGTACCCGTTTAAGCCACATCTGTACATTGCCAGATGGGCGTAGAAGTGCGGGTGAAATCCTAAGGGGACTAACCCGCATGGAAACAGGTCCCCAGTAAACGACCGTATTATTTTATATGAAAACTTGGCTGTTCCCTTTTCTCTTTAAAATTTGCTCCAACCCCTGAGCTTTTTGAATGTATTTGTTGCGTTCTGTAGTTATAATAGTGCGACACGACTGATTCTGCTCGAAAGGACATGTCTCGTAAGACACAGTATATACGCTGTTACGATTACTAGTAAAAGGACAAAACCCCACCACTGTTAAGGGAGCCTATCCATAGCAGCCCTCGAAGCCAGCTCGCTTTAAAGCAGCCCGAAGAGGGGTCGCACGCAACCTGAAGCTGATACGCTAGCAAATGAGAACAAGCCAGTGATTTCGCTTTATCCTTAAGTGGACCAATAGGAACGTCTGCAGATCCAGGTACATGAAACCTCACGTGGATTACTAACAATACGCACCAGGGCTTGTTAAGGTTGCTATCAAAAGAGTAAACAGGCCAATACCGCATTCATTCGCAGACAAGGCACGTTTTGTTAGAATAGCGGAAGTGTAAGGGTCAAGAACAGTTTGGGTACCATAGAACAAAGTCTAGCCTCATTCTAAGACGCTGTTCTGATAATGTGCGGCTGTTTTGTGGCTTCACATATCGCTCTGTTCATGTGTGCAACCAAAGTCGAAGATAAGTTCCAAATCACGGACACTTTGTTGCTCCGGGCTAGGTATAACCTAGCCCCAATCAAAGTGAAAACTGTGAATCATTAGACAATGTAGGGGAGAACGCAACCCTCGGCATTTGTTGTGCCAGGAGGCAGTAGTCATATGTTTCTACTGCCTTAAACATTTTGTGGTAAAAAGTATCATGAACGATCCCGCCAGCCTTAATACTACTTCTAAACTAGTACTATCTGGTGGTCGATTGATGAACTTATGGTACGCGAACGACATGGGCCAAACTAAAACCCGATGAAATCACAGCCGCATAAGTTGTTTTAGTGTCGGGCACCCTCGTATGTTTTCTAGTAGTAAAAGCATAAAGTGCAAACAGAGGACTAGACCGTAACATCTCTTACCCTAACCGAGTAGCCACCCGAGGTGGACTCTTAGTTTACTTAATTAAATAGCCGCATTACCTCTGATGGTCCCATGTATAAACGCAGATGATACGTGGTTGGCAACGTTCGATTTCGCATTTGCCTTTCCCTGCGGCCTCCATAGGAACAGGGGTGGCTTGCGCTGCACCACTCACAGTTCCATACACACACCCCATATCCGGTGTAAACAGAAAGGAATAAAATCGGGGGCATGTGGATAGGGCCACGTTTCATCGACGGAGCCGGCCCACACTCATTCAACATGTACAGCAGAAGCATTTCTGTTTGTATAAATTGGGAATCAAGCGTAACGGACGTAAACAAGACCGTGGCTGGACCGTATTCCGCTCCACACTGGATGGAACCATTTTGAACCTAGCACGGTCAGGAAAACTGTGCACCCGGTGCCTCCCAACAACGTCTTATAGTCTCTTGGAGCCAGTAAGGACAAGGTCGAGAGTGTTAGACAAGTAGGCACCTTGTCAAAATTCACATCAAGTGCAGTCACACCGGGGATATCAAACAACCAACACAAAGTCTGAAGAAAAATATATACGCGAAATTGATACGGAATATGCAGCAGAATAACAGAACTGAGAAATCAAAATGAAGTTTTTAGTCAGGTTAATAAGATCCAGTTTGAGGGTAAGTCGGTGTAGTCCGACTGCGGTGAAGATGCACGATGTACGCAACATCAGCCTCAGCATGAGGCAGATGATACAACACTCATTAATAAAACCGATGCATCCCTTTAGGAGATAATGAAATAGAAAAAATGTGTGCATACGTGATGTAGTGGTTTCACCGTCTGAAATGCAACCGCAAGGATCCGAACTTGAGTCCCTACTTCTGTATGGGCAAGTGCATGTATGAAAAAGGAGGGCAGCAGGATCATGCCGTACCCAGGTTTCGCTGCCACATAAACACCACCAATAGCGTGTGGACTAAGAATACTGCGAAGTTCGACCGGAGCCCTACGCAGGCTCGAATCCGCGACCTTCGGGTAGCAAGGTAGACGTATTGTCCTTTCGGCCATGCGTCCATGTGGTAACCAGACCAGCGTACAGCGACCTACGGTTGCACAGCGATGATGCATCGGTGCTGAAGGTAAGTGTAACACGTTCAGGTATGTTCAACTTGTGTCTTATGAGCTTCCTGGTTAGGAAAACTACGAAATGTCGTTGTGAGACCAGCATCATACAGTGAATAATGCATGAGAGTTGCATGCAAAAGATATTACGAAGCTGACCGTAAATAACTACTGCCGCTCAACTCTGGTGGGATCGCTGCCAGTCGGTGATCAGAAACAGACCCTCTGGTGTTGCAATAGTGTCTGGTAAAGCCGAAATGTCGACTGGCCGCTTCAACGCGTCTTATTGGTAAAAAGGTGCCAGCGTGTTAAAACAAAAGGCGGCCGATCGACAACGCCGAGTCAAGCCGGTTACTGTGGCCTACCTGGAGATGGCCATCAGCACCAGTGGTTAAATGACACTGGCGTTTCTTCGTTTCTAATTGCTAACTTCAGTAGCTAATAAGCTCAAACTTAAACGTGACCCATTAACTGATCACTTTTGCGATTTATTGTGCTTCCAATACTTTGGCCGTCATTTACTCCACTTTTTACAACTCGAATCAAGACGGACTCAAGATACTTTGGTTCGAGGATTATGGTTGAGGGGATGAAAGTAAAAAAATTGGGCAGACGCAAGAGTAAGTGACCCAGAAGTAAAATTCGGTCCAGCACGTTCGCGAAGAAAGGCGAACACGTACGCAAAGTAGGACAAAACTGTCATGGGCGAGTTAGAAGCAGCGATAAAGAGAAACAATAAGAACAGGTACCACAACATGCGAGATGTAGACGTTAAACATACGCAGCATCATTTTCGTCTTCTCGTAGTAGACCACACATAGGCCAAATGCTAATTGTGAAGCAAGATAGAGAGAAAGCCGCATCTTCATGCGACCCATGATGCATAAAGTAATCTCATTGCTGAAAGGAAGGTAACCTGAGAGTTCAAATGATCGAACCAAGCCGAAACGATGTCCACAGAATTCAATTCTCTTCGCGTCAAATTCTTCTTCACGTGGGTCGCTGCAAGCCTGATGAATTATTCAGAGAGCAGGGTGACGTACCAAATAATTCCGAACTTCCCACGATGGGCAGACAATAGCTCTACACTGTAAAACATAAGGAACTGCAATAAATCCTGTTCCGAGTAGTGATGGGTGCAGTATGTGCCGAGATTTTCCGTAAGAAAATTTTAAAGTGAACTGCAAAACCACTACAGTTCTGGAAGGGAAAAATAGTCAATGTAGATTCAGTTATCAGAAACACCTAAAAACAAGCTGCTGCTGTGACGTCGGCCCACAGTGTTTGAGAGCCTAATCATATACCGATGATTGTGTAGCATCGAGTGAACACCGAGTAGGAAAGCCTCTAGTTGCGATTCAATTGATACTGCTAACAAACGCTCTACGATGGTTTCCACGGTCTGGAAACAACAGAGGTAAAAATCGTTATACTCTGGTTAGACACCACCGTACTCAATGCACCCACTTCGCAGCAGCTATTTGCAGTGTCCAGTGGGAGGACAAAAGTCTGGTCCATATGAAAAGAAGGCTTTACAAAATGTTGGTCACAGGAGATGAGTAAACCGAAAACTTAAGTGTGTAAGAACAAACGAACCCAACTCAGAAGAAGGGGTATGTGAAAAATGAGTGAGAATAAGCATATGGAACAGGGTACAAAGACGAAATCGTCATAGTAAGTGGGATAAAAAGGAAGAAAACGGTGCTTATGCAATGCTTCGGCTCTTCACCAATTACTCAGTGACAGCAAAGTCGGAATCAAGCTTTGCATCAGTGTCCAGTTGTGAAACACGAGTTGGAGAAACAAACTGAACACATAGAGCGGCCAGAGGAGTGGCAAAGTAGTAGCACAACGCAATCCAACCGACAACAGCCAATTTCGGGGGCACATAAGACAAAGTATGCAGTAGGGGAAGCCAAATCGGAGTTCGGAGCTCCACATCGTTCAAGATGGTTTGTGTGACAATCTCTTTAGGGGAACGTCCAATGAGCCACGCGGTGAAGATACCTTCCAAAACGAAGATGCTCACACTAATGCTGACAACACGCTGTTTTGAGATTTTTCGTGTATCTTCGAGTTTAATGTTCGATAGCGCGGTTAGACAGCACAGTCTCCATTCATGACCATTACGTGCCATAGTCTCCAAGGTTTCCAACCATTGGCAGTCCGAATCGCGTGGTTCCCATCCTGGAAAGCGGACCTGTCCGACGGACGCTAAGCTTGAGCTTGCGTTCTCCATGCTCCTTCTCTACGTGATTGGTTGTCCACCGAGGCACTTTCTTCAATCGCTTCCAGTGAACGCAAATAACGCTCGACGGGAAAGGCGATAGCCTGGCATGCGCAACACATGGCTGAGCTAACGCATGCGGGGTCGAAGAATAACCGTTTGGAGGCATGGGTTGTTTGCTCCAAACATTCACTCTCGAACTTTTGCGTTACTAACGTGATGCTGTCATCACACGCGAACGATACGCAGACAACGATTGTCGAAAACTGACAATCATGTTATGTCTTCCGAGCGAGTCGGCCAGGTCTCACAACCGTACAAGAGGACCGCACGGACAGAGGCAATGTACACCCTGTCCTTGAGTTTGAGACTGACGTCGTGACGGCGCCATAAATGTCTCAGTCTGATGAATACAAGGCGGGACTTTGCGATCCGTTGTGAGACCACATCCACAATACAGCCGCCAGCTGTCATGCAACTCCCCATATAAGTGCAGTGGAGTTGTTCCGGGACATCACCAGCAATGGTGAGAGCAGGTACAGACATCTGCCAATCCTGGAGTAGTATACTACATTTGTGAAACACAGGCCATACATAGATGCCCCCATCGCTAAGCGGTTCAGAGCGCTCTGGACGGCTTGCGGATCGTCCCCAAGGCAAAGCGATATCATCGACGTAGTTCAAGTCCGTGACGCTGTCACCAAGAAGAAGCCTAATACCACAGTTTTGGACGGCCTCGTAGCCGAGTGACAAACAGAAAGTTAGAGAGAGACAGCAAATTAGAGACAGCAAGATCAAAAATTCTGGAGTCAGGAGAAGTGGGAGTGTAAACAAAATCATGCGTCAAAGTGTTCTGCATCCACCTGTTATCGCCCTTGGTCCGAATACTCGACTGCCGCCACTGTAAGGGGAGGGTCCAATTTGGTCGCGCATTTACGCCACGTCGCGGTTGCTACTAACTAGGTGCAGCAATAGCATGCGTGCATGCTGAGGAAGTTTGTCAACGGGCATACAGAGGGCATGATGTAAGCAACAAAGGCGGTTCAAGCTTGGAAACACTGCAGTAAGACACCAGATGGTTTCTTAGAAAACAGCAGCTGGCGTTCCAACCACACGTGAGCAATAGTCCGTAAGTACCACCGGCCAGTGGCCGAGTGGCTCAGGCCTCTGAGTCGTGGTCTAAAGGTCACCAGTTTGTGTCCACTTAAATGTAACTGCACAATGTCCGCAGCCCGCACGAGACTGATGTCGGTCAAGAGGCAGCGAATTACTGGCACCCGGACTGGATTGCTACTGATGACTGAATGTTGCCCCCCTCTCAAAAGAGATTACTCCAGATCAGGTATAGAATGAAATATGGCGTACTGAAGGATAGAATGCATTTCGGTATGTCCGAAGAGACCCGGATGTGGGACGTTCCATTCACTAAGATTTACATTCACAAGTGTTTTCAAGTGAGTTGAGAAAATTATCCGCTCGTTCGGTACACACATTGTCTTAGGAGTGATGCAGAAGTTGAAGACATGTATCTTAACAGCGTTCATGATTAAAATGTATTGGCGACCATGTTAGGTTCAGATAACTAGGTCATGAGGCGCAAAGCCGTCCTGAGAATAATGCGCGGGTAATCGAAGACAGCGCACGTCTCACTCGTTTAGGAAAAGTCAATTACCGCAGAACTCGGTTCCTCAGGGACAAACAATTTTTTGGTGAAAACCAAACGACGGAAAAACACAGCACAACTCGTTCGCACATCGCTTGCAAATCTACTATCCAGTCAGTGCCGCTCACAACAACACAGTTCCATCAATAGTGTACACTTCCTACTCCAGTTAAACGACAACAGGCAAAAGTTATGCAATCAGCGGAAGATGGTGCGACCAATAATCCAAGCCGATTGGTTTGCATCGGATCTGCTGTCTCGTAGATCTCGCTGGTCTGCTTTCAACTACCATATCCGCCGTCTACTACCAAATGTATTACCAGTGTGGTCACTCCTCCGCGTTTTTGTGTGAATTTCACCCAATATGATCCTACTTTTAGCCATTAAAGTGCTGTCCATCACAAAGGATGCCGAAGTTACCGCTGTTTAAGTTGCAGCTTCAGGTGATTTTGATCGCTTGCAATTTGCTAAGAAACTGGAGAGCGTCAATTCAGTCCTATTTTATGCCGTCAAATGGAAAATTAAGATAGTACCACACGCTCTGTAGTCACATAAGAACTACGATCACCCTGAAAGGAGATACAATACAACCCATAGACCGCAAAATCTCTAGCGTGTCCACTTGAAGTTAATGCCCTTCGAGTTTTGACCAATGCTCTTGAATAAGAGGCTCACGAAATGGCGCCGTTTCTGGTTCCCATTACATCGATCAAGAGTACGAAACTCACAAACCAGTGAGGCAAACACGGCGATGATATAATTCCTTTAATTTGGCTGCTCAACTCTCTCCCCTGATGCCATTGTACACGATGTTGTTTGATACCGACTTTTAGCATAGGTTGATAGTACGCCTGCTCGCATCAACGGTGGAATCGACGAATTCGAAATGTAGCGCCTTTTGACATAAAGAAAGAAATTTTTTGGATTCTGTGAGATTCAGTCTCCCAAACCCTTCTCATATAGAAGCCCAGCATTCGTTAGGTGTTGTTCACAACTATTTCTAGCCTTACGGTACCTGTGTAGCAGTCTGGAGATTCCCCGGTTTGCCTGTGTAAAATTCTAACCAAAATTCTATAATTGTACACTTAGGCAATCGGTGTGGTTTGTTGAACTGATTGCTGAGTTCGAATGCTTTACTTGCTCATCGCCATTTTTGCTTGGCGCTCGCTTCGGTTGCAACGCGCGACTGCTCTGTGTGCTGTGCTTGATCCGTTCCCCTAGCTAGAGCGTCCACGGTGTCGTTCGTTTATAGCTAGCTAACAGGGAATCTTTTGCTGAACCAATAAAAGTTTCCCTGCAACTCGATCTGTCTTCTGGAATCGCTCTCTGGGCTCCCGGAATAGGCAACCCTCTAAATTGGTGACCCCGGATCCGGAACAATCTCAACGCCGGATATTTCGAACTTTTCTCCGGTGAGCTCGTTCCATTTATTTTTCATATTTTCCGGTTTTATTTTTGCATACGGTAGCCTATTTTTTCGCGTCGTTTTTTCAAATCATGGAATCTGTAAACCATAACGTAGAGTCTCTGCTTAGCGTTGTATCTCTCACAGTTCCACCTTTTTGGGACATGGATCCTGTTTTGTGGTTCGCTCATCTGGAGGCTGAGTTTTATAACCACAGAATCACTTCCGACTACGCGAAGTATTGCAAGCTCCTGTCCTATCTCCCCAAGGAGATATCAACGCAGGTTCGTGACGTTATCATTTCTCAGACCGATAACCGCTATGAGGCTCTGAAGGAGGCCACGATTAAGCGTGTTATGCCCTCTGAGAAAGTTCGCCTGCAGCAGCTTTTCAGGGATCTGCAATTGGGCGACAAACTGCCCTCAACCCTGCTACGCGAGATGCAGCAACTCCTTGGTTCCTCAACCATGGATGAGACTTTACTTCGCGAACTATGGCTACAACGGCTACCGGAAAACACACAAGCGATTCTCGCTACAGTGAGCTCCGTTCCGCTCACTCAACTAGCAGACTTAGCGGATCGAGTTATTGAACGATCACAGCCACAGGCCAACGCCAGCAAGGTCCATGCCGTCGCGTCCCAGGGCACTTCTATCACTGGCTTACAGTCAACTATAGAAGCCCTCCAAACACAAGTTGCGACACTTAGTCGCCAGGTGCAACAGCTTACTATGACCCGTCGTCGTCCTAGCCGCTCAAAATCGCCCTTCAAACGTTCTCAGTCTCGCAACAGGCAAGTTAGCTGTTGGTATCATCAGCGCTTTGGTACCGCAGCTCATAAATGTGTAAAGCCTTGCAACTTCGCCGAGAAGCAGGGAAAACTTCGCGGCCGGTCCGTAACGGCGA